ATTAAATGTCCAGTCAAACCACATCTTATCTATCCACATATCTTATCTCTCCCTTGGAATCACCCTTGTGTGCTAGTGCTCGGATTGTTACCTCTCTCAATGGATACTTTCTGATTCTTCTCCTTCTACTAAAAGTGCAGCCAGGTGGGTTTCTATCTTTTCTCACTGCATGGCAATCTGTAGGGTATGTGTTATTGGTTCAGTCCTTGGCCTTCTTCAAGCAATTTTCGTTTGATGTAAGTTAAAGTCATTTATTCAAATGTGCATCTCTTGCCAGGTTGTCGGTATAACAGTGCCAAAATTACAGTGTTTAGCTGCTTTCCTTAAGCAAGTGATGAACTGTTGAACAGTTTCATCTGGGTTTTGCATGATCCAATGAAAGGTCTGGCGGGCGAATGCCAAGTTTAGCTGTGGCACTAAATAGGCATTGAGAGCTTTGACAGCACTAGCGTAATCTGTAGCATTCCCGGGTTCCAGTTAAGGTGGTAAGTCTCTCCTGCACATCAGGCCCAGCCAGGTGAAGTAGCATTGCTCTTTGCCTTTGCTGCATCTAAAATAAGCCCTTTCTCATTGGCGTACAGTTTGAATGAAGTTAACCATCGTGTCCATCGGGGGCCAATCGTTGATGGGTCAAGAAAACAATTGAATTTTGGTAACACGTTCTTGTCCATCCTTGTCGCCAATGCAGTTATGCCAATACTAGTAATAAAGTATCCGAACAAACAGTTTTAATTCAAGTTACCTATTTCATTGCGACCATAACATGCCTGCCATTATCAAAAGCTCATGGTAAATCAATCCCAGCATACTTAGCAGTCTATTACATTACACCTATCTAAATCTGTTGACAAATTTGTTGGACTAGATAATACCTTTGTGCCTGCCTGTTGAAGGATGCTTCTGATGTCTTAAGCAAGGTGATAGAGAGATCAGCACATGTTCAGTTAATATGGAAGAAAACAGACTGTCTTTATGATCACAGTTTGGCTTTTTACTGAAGTGCTCAACTTTCACTGCCTAAATCGCTTTTACAGATCAAATCCTAGAAGGTATAAACAAAGGATGCATGACAGGAGCAGCCAAAAAAACTCTGAGACAACCCACTATGACCATTAATCACTTTCCTTTCCGGTTCTTTTTTTTTTTAATCCAACTGATCAACTTTCACATGAGAGAGGGCTCTTTGAAACAAACCCTAAGAAATAACTATAATCAGTGGCGTTACAATGTAACTAATGTAACTCTGTTTCACTGAGTGTAGTTACTTAATAAACTGTTCAAAAAATATAATAAACTGGTTTGAAAAATATGATATGGTTTAAAAAATTATGAACCAGAACTAAAATTGAACCACAACAGTTACATGAACAACAAGCTGACACTAAACGTTGCCAAGTTGAAGTTTATGATCATTGTCAATTTAATGATTTATTTTATTTATTTTATTTTATTATTTTGCCACACAGAATAAATTATAATTAGAATAAAAAAGATAATAAATACGTTAATAAATATTAAATTTAAAACGAGCATACAAATTGGAAGGGGTGACTGTGGTGGGGAAATCTCCGAGAAGCCGAGCTTTTGAGGAATAGAGATTTCCCCCCAAACTATGATATAGCTCTTGTGGCTAACGATGATCAATAAGAGAAAATGTTGCTAAATTCAAGTATCTCAGGCCAGTGACCATAAACCAGTATCTCACGTGGTATGACCACATTGGCCTGAATTACAAAGTAAAATAGGGAAGAGGTTAGGTGTCTTAGGAAGAATCAAACATCTGCTCACAGTTTATGGAAGGAAGATCTATGTGTCAACAATGATCATCCGTCCCTTTTTCTTCAATATCTTATTGGATGACAAAAACAACAAAGTTTTAATGGATTTTATCCAAGTTCTTCAGAGTAAAGCAGCCGAGATAGTTCTGGATAGAGCACTAGATCATATTAAGCAGAAGACAAAAGCAATGCTGTCTTTTTTTGCATGACCGGTAATTTTAATAATGACAGTGAGAGTATGTAACAGTACGTTTATCTGTGGCTTAGACCATCACATTCATAACACCCTCTCAAGGGTTAGACCAAATACTAACTCAGGGATTGCTTAGATCCCTAAATAGTGAATTACCAGATTGGAGTACCCTCTCTGTGGAGAAAAGAAACCTCCTCAGTAATGCTTTAAGAATATCATTAGTTATTAACAGGTTTAAATCTCAATGGTACCTTCTAGGTCTTTTTATTCTAGTTTTTTTAGGTGTGAAATTTTTCTTAGTTCAATTTCCTATATTTAATATTAGCTTTTTGGCATAATTGGTGTTTTATTTTTTACATGCACAGTGCCCTATTCAAAACCATTAAGTGTGACATAGGCCATCTGTATAAAGAACTATATTTTTCTCGTTATTATATTGTTCAATAGTGATTCAGCTGACCGGCGTGGCCCGCAGTGTCATCTTACAAAAGTAGTGTATCTAAAAGGTCACAGTTTCTTGTACATGTGGTTGTGTATATAAAGTCTATTGCAAAAAATTGCCAATCAGCTGATCAAAAGTAAAATAATTCAATTGTCCTTGTTTTTTATTTGCAGCTGACTAAGGGCATGCCTTATTTTGTTGACTTTGAGAAGAGCAAAGGAAACTACATCGTTGATGCCGATGGCAACATCTTATTAGATGTTTTCCAGCAGATTGCTTCTATTCCTTTAGGTTTGTTTAGAATAAAACTGCAGTCAACTCTTTCTTCTTAACCAATTCCATTATAAAATGGATAGCTTCCTTAAACAGACACATACCTTTCATTTGCCACGGACTCTCTATAAGGTAGACACCCCTACAAGGCAAAGAATTAGGGTCACCCCCAGAGTGGTGTCCATCGTAGACAGAGTTGACTGTATAATTATGTTAAACATTCATCTTTGGCTATCCTCCTCTTTTCAAATGCCATGACTATTTGATAGAGATAATTGTTATTAATATGGATTGAATGTTTACATTATTACTGTTTTTATTCATAATTGTACTGCAGGCAACTTATTGACAATCACAGGTGCAAGGTAGTCAGTCCAGTCAGGTTTCTAGTCCTTGAGCTAAAGTAAATGATGCTGAATTATTCCACCATTCTTCTTGCCCCATCGGCTTAATATCAACAAGGCAATACCTACCCACCACAATACATGCAAAGAGACCCAGTCCCCTAATCATGTTTTTGTTTAGAATGCTATATATTGGTCTTCAACAAGGGAGAATGACCTAAGATGTTGAATCCCCCATACATGACCCTCTTTCGATGAAAATTATTTGTAACCTATTCCTGGTTCTGTGTAATATTGTGTCGTTATTTTAAGGGTGCCACCTTACTGGTCGGTTAGAGTGGCATCATGTCATTTAAAATTGGCGGGTAATTCATTTCACTGCCAATCATGCACCACAAGCGATATGACGTGCGAACTTGTTANATTGACAATCACAGGTGCAAGGTAGTCAGTCCAGTCAGGTTTCTAGTCCTTGAGCTAAAGTAAATGATGCTGAATTATTCCACCATTCTTCTTGCCCCATCGGCTTAATATCAACAAGGCAATACCTACCCACCACAATACATGCAAAGAGACCCAGTCCCCTAATCATGTTCTTGTTTAGAATGCTATATATTGGTCTTCAACAAGGGAGAATGACCTAAGATGTTGAATCCCCCATACATGACCCTCTTTCGATGAAAATTATTTGTAACCTATTCCTGGTTCTGTGTCATATTGTGTCGTTATTTTAAGGGTGCCACCTTACTGGTCGGTTAGAGTGGCATCATGTCATTTAAAATTGGCGGGTAATTCATTTCACTGCCAATCATGCACCACAAGCGATATGACGTGCGAACTTGTTATTAATTTCGCCAATGACTTAAAAGATTTCTGCGTGGAAACATCTTGCCAGATTAACTTCCAATGAGCAAAACCGTTCTGGCTAGGGAGCTTAAGCAACTACGACGACGACCAAAACGACGACTTCAAAAAAACAACAGGTTTAATGATCAAATCAACAGCTCTGCACGTGCATCACGCTTTTTACTACATTTCTTTGACGTCCACTGCACGACTGCGACGCGAAACCTTCTAATTTCACGTTTTATGGAGGACGTGGACATACGACGACGAATTTTCCTTCCTCTTTTTGAACCTGAGTAAAATCCTTAAGAAAAGTGGCCTGGGTGAACACAAATCAGGTCAGATGCTTCAATCTGTTAAACAGTTGCATGAGATGACCACGATGGACGTGAATCTTGGTGCTCCATAACTTGCTTTATTTTGAGCAGATTCTTGCTTATTTCTTGAATGTTTTCTACAATTTTTTTGTAACGTATGTATTATCCTTTGATTCTCCTACCTTTATTTTACCATGCCTGAGTCAGTCTCTAGTTTATAGTACAGTGTTTCCTATTTATACTCTTCTCGTATTTATAGTTTAATTAGTTATTTGCTCAATTTCTTTTTTTTTCATTTTTCTCTTCCCTTCCCTTCTTTTCTTTCTCTCTTTTCTATTTGGATGTGTGAGTGTTTGTGTGTTATTTCTTATAACCGTAAATATAATTGTAACCTATTATTGTCCCGCCTAGAATAGCATTTTTGCTAATGGTGTGAACGAGACAACTGTAACTTGTCGCATGAAATTCATTGAAGATTGTTGTTGTTGTTGTTGTTGTTGTTGTTGCTTACCTGGAAGCCACAGACGGTTTCCCGTTTCGGTCAATTCTTTATAGTGAGCAGTGTGCCTACATAACTGATGACCACAACGAGCAATTAGGGACCTTAGCAACGACGACGACGAGTAGAGTTGTTCAAGTGCGGACGAGGACATGTAAACAAAACAGTGCTCATTTATCGTGAAAATCGAGAAACAGTCCAATAATTTTATCATGTCTTCTTTTCACGAGATCCAAGTTGAACTTCTTTTGAGTTATGAGGACGGTATTCTAGATGAAGATGAGCTTTTGCTACTACACGAGCAATTTATGCCGAAAAATCCCAATTTCTCGTACGAGGAATACGACAGGTTTTCCCTCGATGAGACGAACGATGCCGAGTGCTTGACAGAGTGTAGATTTAGAAAGCACGACTTGCAAATTCTCTTAGAGGTTCTTCAAATACCTGATAGCTTCAGATGCTATCAAAGAGGTGTTGTTGACGGAATGGAAGGTCTCTGCATTCTTCTTAAAAGATTAAGTTATCCATGCAGATACAGTACCAGTTCTCAGTGTGGTCAGTAATGACGTCTTGGATTTTATATGTAACACTCACTGACATCGCATAACACCGTGGAACCACAAGGTGCTTAATCCAGCTGCATTACAGATTTACAGTAACGCCATTGCCGAAAAAGGAGCTGCTTTACATAATTGTTTTAGGTTCGTTGATTCGTTGATTCGTTCGTTGATGGGACAGTTCGCCCCGTATGCAGACCAGGAGAGCACCAAAGAGTCATCTACAACGCCCACAAGAGGGTTCACGCTCTAAAATGCCAGTGTGTGGCTCTACCCAATGGTTTAATCGGTAACCTATATGGTCCAGTGGGTAAGTTTTGCGGGGAGGGTTTGTACAAAGAGAGAGTGGGCGATTTCAATTTCAGTATTTTTTTTAACAAGAAATATTGGAAGAGTGTCAGGGGTAAAGAGTCAGAGGCTTATGTGACAAACCTGTACAAGAAGCGTTTTTAGTTCCTTACGTATGTTTTACTTCCTTTTACTGTTTCAGAGGGTCGTAAACACGATACTGGCATGCTAGCTGATTCAGGTCTTCTTCAAGACCTGCAACGCTTTGCAAATTCACCAGCTGGCAATCCGTTTTGCTTGTACGGCGATCCGGCATGCCCTCATAGAATTTACTTACAGACGCTATTCCGAAATAGAGCCCTTACTGCCCCAATGATTGCTTTTAACCAGTCTATGAGTACAGTGCGAGAGTCCGTAGAATGGCTGTTTAATGACATTGTCAATTATTTTAAGTTTATGGACTTTAAAAAGAATCAAAAATTAGCTTTAGTAGTGTAGGAAGGATGTAGGTCGTTTGTGCAATTCTCAGGAATGCTCTTACATGCCTATATACAAATCAGACATCGCAATACTTTAACTTAGATCCGCCAACACTACAAGATTACTTTGCTTGAAAGTAATTCAAATAATATACCGGTAATAAAAGAGGAATGACATGTCAGTGCAATAATGAAAGTTTCATGTGAATAGCAATGCATTGTTTCCCTGACTACTTTTTTCTTTCTGGGTGTATCAAGAGAAGGCAGGTTAATTTGATACAGGAGTGTATTAATAAGTGACAAACTGCTTTATAAGATTGTTTTGTTTAAACTTGAGTTCCAGCCAAGAGGCACAACATCTGGGATGCATTAACTGGTGACAGAAGCCTGCTGGCGAATGCTCCAATCATACTACAAAACTAGGACTTAATTATTTACCAGAGGAAGGGGAGGGGAAGAGGAAAAATGTCGCCCTTTTCCTTTCTGACACATTTTTTCATATTTTCTGACCCTCCCACCTTTGACAGATAACCCCTCAATTCCAACCGCTACAGGAGGCTTCATTTTGTAGCCAGTCAGGCAAGATGGGCGTACACTGTATAACCGTAAAATAAACTTGAAACTTTGAAACACAAAGCTTAAATTTAATCACTAAGAAATGTTGTAGCTTCAAATACAACACTGAAGATTGTGGCCAGTCAGACAAGATGTACAGAAATGCACATAAAATACACTTAAAACTTTGAAACATGAATCTTGAATTTAATCAATTTAAGGTTTTGCAACAACACTAATCAGTCTCAAAATGTACCTTCAAATACAAACAGTGCATTATTGCATGTCTGGAAAATATGCATGCTGTCTCAGCACTTTTTCATGGTAAAACTTCCAGTGACAACAAAATTGGAAAAACCAACACTTGGATGGATAAAATAGCGGATATTTATCTGTTCTTATTTTGGCCTTTTGCAAGAAAACAAAGCATAACCTGAGTCTGCTGCTGCTGTTGTTATGCCAGCATTTTCATCATATCCTCCTTTTGACTCAGCTCCTTTCTGGCGTCTCAACTCCAAATCCTCCTTTCTCAGCACACTCTCTCTTTCTGACTTTTCTTTCAGATTTCTTCGCCGTCTGGGCTTTTTCGTCTTGTTTCTCAGCATTCCTTTTCTTGGTTTCACCCAACCGCTCAACCGCTCGGTTGCGGTGCTCCTCCGCTGCTGCCTTTTCAGGTTTCTTGCTATCATCTTGCAGGCTTCTCGCATCTGTGGTCGCTTTCTCTTTTTCTATGATTTCTTCTTACACTTTGTCTAGCTTTGTTTCCTGACAGTCTATCCCAGAGTCAGCTTCTTCCATTCTCATTTTCGCTTTGTACTTTTGTTGAAGTAATGTCAACCTGTCTCTGACACTTCTATTTGATACTTTAAACGTAGGATGATCAGAGGCATTTAAATTGTTGGCTATTTCGTTCCATGAATCTCCTCTTTCCTTACTGCGGTAAGGACGTTTCCAAAGTTCAACAACTAAAACTTCTTCGCAAAGATTCAAGTCATGCAGTTCTGTCCACTCCATTCTAAGGAAATTCACATCAAAATATAAGTTAATTTTTCGGAAAATTAGACTCTAAAATGACCTTAACGGCATGAAAATTTACAACAAAACAAGTAATCACTTTGTTAATTCTCGATTTCATCTTCTTAACTTGAATGTTTTGCTTACCAGATGCAGATCCCACAACGCCCGAATTTTTTACTGTTTGCAAAGTTTTCATGTTTCAAAATCATAGTAAGATTCAATATTGTGCAAAAATTACAAACTAAGGAATATCTAACTTTCATTTCAAAAGCCAAACATAAATTCTCTTCCTAAACAAGATGAAAATACATTAATTTTCACTCATGTTCTCGCGGCGTTCGGCCTGGACGGCAAAGATGGCGTTTTCACGCTCTGAACACGTGGACGACGAGTGACGCATGCGCATTAGCAGGCTAAGCGGTATTTTCACTTCCGGTCGTCGTCCTCAGGGCTTCTCGTCAACCTTGCTTAAGGTCCCTATTGAGCGGGTCCAAATAGACGCGATTAAGTTTAAAAGAACGCAAATTCATTTTTGTACCAACGTGTTCACTGCCGTCGTCGTCTTCCTTGCTTAAGGTCCCTATTAGCAAGTATTAGACGTTAAGAAGAAGCATTGCAATTTAAAATCAAGGATCATTGTCAAAAGCAAGTGTACTGTTCCTGAACGCGAAATATTCCTTGAAGAAAAGACAAAATAACTAGCAGCCAGCCGCTCATAAAAGGTTTCGTATTTCGTGCATGATAACTTTTGCTTTTGGTTTTCACGGTGTGTCAGTATTCAATATTCGTTACTTTAAATGAGTGTGCTAGGCTACTAGCCTTTAGAAAATCTCAATCTTTAATCTTAAAGTGAAATTTTGCCCCCAATGGGACATTATCATGGGACTCAGGGATTTTCTCTCAATAGCTCATTCTCTCTAGTCTTAAACTACAGAAGATTAGCAGTCTTCAAAAGTAGGTTGAGTTTGATCGTCCGGGTGAATGTAGTCCTGAATAGGACTGTTGTTGACAGTGACTGATGTTTCGACAACCTGTGCGGTGGTCATCTTCAGAGTCAAAGTGATTTGTATCACGTCAGTTGATGGTATTATACTCTGGTTATTGATATGCTTGGTCAATTACGTGGCGATGTTATTGGTCGTCTGTCAGTTAAGTCGTGATGTTATTGGCTATGAAGACTCGTAATCAATAATTGGTGCGTTTCGATCCGTCTATCGTCACAGTTAAACGAACAGTCGTCTATTGTTTCTCAAATTGTCAGTTGCTCTCTCGTAGTTAGTTTTGCTTAACCTCGTTAATAAGTCGTTTTTACGGTGCTGGTAACTGTTGGCTACGATTCAGTGGCGTCTTTCCTGAGTTAGTAAACCAGCTTTAAATCAGGACGATCCTGAAACTCAACCTACTTTTGAAGTGACTCTTGGGTTCAAACCTTTCACATTAACAGTCTTTTTTGAATGCAGGTATAATCTGATAAAATAATCTTTGTCACTTTGGCGTAGGTGCGAAGTTTCCCACCAGAAACTCCAGAAACCTAAATTGATCCGTCTGAACCTTAAGATTAAAAATTATAAATATGCAGAGGCTCAAAAGTCTGTTTTATCCACCTCACAGAAAATTTGGGTACCTTAACTGGAAACCCAGAACATTTGTGCCATATATTGAAGACTTCTTCACAAACTGGGAGGCAGAGTTGTTCTGTTTTTAAAAAATCCAATTGTTTTCATTTTGATGACAGGTTATAACCACCCTGCTTTAGTAAGAGCTTTACAAGATCCAAAGAATGTGGTAAGATATATATGAATTGTGTATTTTAAGGTTCAGTGATATCCAACCCTCACAACGTCATTATAATTCTTACGTGAGTTATTATTTTAATTATATAGCTGTTAGTTAATCCGATATTGTCAGCAAAGCTATTATTCTTTAATTTTTACGAACTGTCCAATTAAGGATTACTTTGGATAGTTTCAGATGGGGCTTTACTTTACAAACAGGCAAACTGTCCAATTTAAGAAAAATAGGACAGCTGGTCTGAGCCAGTCAAATGCCAGAAAATACAATTGACAATGCAAACTAGATAATCAGCGCAAAGTTCCTGTGACAACGCGCCAAAGAAAGTTTCGTTGGCTGACGGCGGTTCGTCGGCAACACTCTTGGCTTCTTGTCTGGGCCATTTAAAAGGAAAATGTATGACCAACCTGATAAAAGTTTGTATCGGAAACAATTAACGAATAGATTCTTGATGTACAAGCACTGAAATTTTGGACAAGAATAAGAAAACAATGATAATTCTGTTTAGATCTTGGCATTACAAAAACAAACGGACAAAGTCTGCGGAAATCGTTTGAGGTAAAAAGGAGAGATTTTTTCCATGATGCATGTGGTACCGCACAGAATTTGACTTTAATGTATTGTTTATCCACTTACGTACCAGAAAAATGCCTTTTAATGCCCTTATTTTTACTTTGCGCTCCAAAGTAGAATTAAATTGGACACGCGCTATTCGACCCTTGATGGCTCAATCCGTACAATTGAGTAAAATTGCCAAAAAACTGAACATAGATTTGTGCCAATTTTTTTCTCATCAAAAGCAAGCACTGTCCTTATTAAAATCATGAAATAAAAAATGGGGGTCACTGTACTCGAGATATCACATTTAGAACACAATGTGATAAAGAAAGCGTTTAAATGAAAATCAAAGTGAGTAAGCACAAGTTAAACATCCACTATCGAGGTTCACCGTAAGGAAGTCGAACTCAGCAACACGCGTACTGCTTACGTTATGCACATTCCCAACACATTGAGTCTCACCTCGGCAAGAAACAACCGTAAGCAAAAATTCCAAAAGCGTTTCTCTTCAGTCAAATTCATTTTAATAACGTTACTTCACATGCTCTTTTTTATGGCGGCCATCTTGCAATGCGCAGTGCAAAACCAGGGAATCACCGTAAATTAAGTATTTGCGTTGTTGCTTTGTCTTCTTTGTACTCGCAATTGCTGTTTTCACCTGTAGCACCGTATCATTCAGATCATTCAAGGAGCTTTCAAAATTTTAATTGGCAACAAAATGCCAAAGCATGAAAGAGCAATACTAGTTCTACGTTTGTTTATTTGTAAAGAATAAGTTTAATGACTCCATAAGAATAAACCTCTTTTAGATCTTGCAGAGTGTTTTTATTTCAACTACAAACGGCTCCACTGTACAATTTTTTTGGATTAACTAACCAGCTATATAATTAGTAAGTAAGAGGACTACATGCTTGTCCAATTTGGAAATAATTAAATTCAAAAATTTCCTCTGACTGCCAAATTGGACTCGGCCTACGGCCTCGTCCAATTTTGGCTGTCCTCGGAATTTTTTTCATCTAATTATTTCCAAACTGTACAGCATGCAGTCCTATTAGTACAGGTAATCACATAATTTCGAGAGCAATTTGGAATAAATAAGCAATTTTGTTAGCCTTTGAAAGATTTACGAGTGCTTATTTATTCCAAATTGCACAAGAAAAAACATGTGATTACTTATTAATAATATTCATGGAAAAATTGCGAGATAGCTTTAAATCTCTTTAATAGGGAGTCAACCCGCGTAACTACGTGCAAAAATAAGTTATTCAAATGCTGCAAATATCATCACACGTGCAGTCAAAACAACATTTTGCTCGATGTTTTTAAAGTTTGCAAGGTGAAGAAACGGGCTGAACAGTTCGTGGAATTGTTCAATGTGTTTGAATTAAAGATTCTGGGTTATTACCTCAAGTTTTCCGCTCTTCCAGAGAATTTCTTCTTCCTCCTCTGATACTTGCTGAGCTTTGTTTGGGCGCTTACCGCGGCCAGCCAAGCGAAGCTGTTTCGCTTTGTCCTCCAACACCTCTTTGGACGAACTTAATTCTCGGTCACGTACAATGGACAGGGTGCAGCCTTTGTTCTTTAAGTGTCTATCAAGCGATGTTATCATTAAAGGCTTTCTGGTTCATAATCTCCACCTTTTTTGTATTGTTTAGTTCGGCATAAAAATGCTCGAGCAAAGTGTTAAGCTCAGCCGGCTCATAATTTTCTATTTCATCAGTAATTTCCTTATCTACGCACCAATTCTTCCAAAAAAGAGAGCCAAAAACCAGCGCTTTTCGTAGTGTTTTCGTTTTTAGAGCAGTTTTTCAACTCCTCTACAGTTGTTTCGGTCGCAAAAGAAAATGTGCTGCAAACGCCAACCATTGCGGTTTTTGCTCGAAACTGGGGCCCGTTTCTCGAAAGCCCCGATAATTAACGGGCCCGTAAAGCTGTTGATGTTTACATGCAAGATAGAGGTTTCAATAGTTTTGCATCTACCATGATAAAACTATCAGTTAGTGAAACAAAATGGGGTAGTTTCCTAGCAAGTCGGGCCCGAAAAGTTACCGGGACTTTCGAGAAACGGGCCCTTTGGTCCGGAGTAGATCCAAATTTTGCGCCGTTTAGATGGCGCATTTGATTGGCTCTCAGTGAGTTCCTTTGTTTATTAGCCAATCAGAATGTCACGTTTTTTAGTCTTTTCTGCACTAAATTACCTTTTTTCTGCACCGTGTTACCTAAAAACTGCATTCCTCTTAGCCAATCACAATCGAGGAATTTTTTCATGTATATTATTAGATCGGGAATCATCCCGTTTTGATAAGCTGCAAATTAAGGATTAAATGTTCTACAGTTGACAGGATACATACAGAATACTTCATGGAAAGCGCGCGGGTACGGTTTTATCGACGAGTTGTTGACGTTTGCATATCAGAAATCGAACGAGTGAGCAGTAATGGTGTACACTCGTACAGTTCACTTTCAGCCTACAGTACATGACCAGAGATCAGCAGACATGAGCCTGCATTCAGCGGCCAATTCTAGGGTGTGGTCGTTGTTTCCGTGCGGTCCTGGGACCGAGTTTGCCCGGTTGAGTGGGGCGGGACATCTTCGGGAATGGTATCGCAAATGACTGGGACATACTGGAAACATTTTCGGTTGCTATGGAAATAAAAGTTGTTTAATGAATACAGTGAATCTTATATTACGTCAACTAAATTCAATTTGCTCCCATGTAGGACAAGTCCTGTCATGTAGGACGCATGGACAGTCTACATATTATTATTAGGCCGTTACTTACCCTTTAGTCCGTTTGATCTTATATTTGTGAACCAATGTCAAGTCGCTTACGTGCACATGTGGAATCTGAACTTTTGTCCCCTCATGTAAACATTAGTACAAGAGCATGCATACGCATTACGATACAACGGTAAGCACTTGTCACTGTGTAATTAGACGAGAGACAAGTCGCATAAATGTGGGAATGGAATTCTGCCTCATCATAGTTTACGTCGCCAAAGTTGGATCAGTGTGCGGTAAGCATTCGATCATGGCGGATCCTCAGTAGGTAGGTAAGTGAGAGGCTGACTTAAGCGGGCAAGAGTATGAAAATGCATTGCGAGATGTCGACAGCGAAGAAACAAGTGATCTTGACACCACCGGTATCGGTACTATAGATCCTAACCTTATGTGGCAAGCCATTCAAGGCCTTGAAAAGAAGAGTGACCTTTGGGCGGGAACGCTTAATAAACGCATCACCGATGCTTCACTTAAGCTGAAAATGCCGGAAACAGCTGTGGCAAAGTGACTCGAACTCCCAATCGAGACCTTCAACCAAAAAAGTAAAAACAGCTTTCTCAGTTGCGCGGATTACTCATCGGACGAATCTGATGGAAACGTGCATTCCATTCTTGGAAAGGAAAGGGAAGAAAAGCAAGATGGCGACTCTCGCTACAATCTGCTGAAGGAGATCGAAGAAGAATGGAACCACAACATGCCACTCTTGAACTATTAGGTTTGACCTTTCAGAATGACTGTAAGTTCTCTGCTCATGCAAAGCTAAACTGTGCAAGGCGAAAGAATGTCTATACGTACTAAGAGTATGCAGAAAAGACGTTACAGGTCGACAGAAATTGATTACCTCTTCTACAGTATTGTACTCCCTAACTTAACTTACGGGTTTTCTGTCCATGGTGCCTCTGACACGGATCTAAATGTTTTCCAGCAATTTTTAGACCGATGCCGTCAGTTACGTTTTATGTACTTTACTTGGAGGTTTAGCTCACTGCTGCTTGTACAGCTGTTAAATAGCAAGATCGGGGTTCTGTCCCACACATTTTACTGTAACTGTTGCCGGGACATAGAATAGGAAGTTTAAGATACCACGACGGCGACGGCGGCAAAACGTCACTTAAAAAGTGACTTCTCGGTGTATGAAACTTTAGCGCGATTATCTTAACTCGATCACTATGTTTTATGTAGGCGAACTCTTCTGGAGTTGAATTCTTAAGAAAAATATCCAAGTGTGAAAAGAACAAGAGAGATTGGTCGTCGTATGTTCACGTTGTCGATAAAACGTGAAATTAGGCAATTCTCGTCGTAGTTGTGCAGTGATGGCAAAGAAATGTACGAAAAAGCGTGATGCACGTGCAGAGTTGTTGTTTTGCTAACCTTAATCAATTGCTTTTTGACGTTTTCGTTGCCGTCGCCGTAGTGGCATCTTAAACTCCCTAATATTCATCGTTATACCGGAAACATCGTTATATCGAGCTTCCACTGTAGAATTAAGTTAAATATGGTCGATCTATGGTTATAAAAACAAATACAGTGTGCGGAACACATTGTTAACATGATACATACATATCCGATTATCTTAGAATGTAGTTTTTCCTATGTATAAAAAAACGCTGAAAACTCTGAGAAAAACGATAAACAAACCTGAAGTAAGTTTAAACAGAAAATTGCCAATGTTTCATCTGTGAACGAGTGTCACAAAATAGATACCAGTTTCGGGGCGGGAAAAACTGTTGCCAAAACAGCACCAACGATCAAGAAAAAGATGAATAACGCATGACCATGAACCACCACTTGAGTTACGCGTCAAAGTGAGGCACAACGTAAGCTAGCTAACGCCTCATAGCGAGGCAAAGGTGTGTCGAGAAAAACTTAGCAATTGGTGTGTGACAGTGTGTGCGTAACGACTCTTTGGTCTCAACCAAACTGTTAAGATTGGAATCTATTAGTCCATATTTGAACTACAATGGTGGTGACACTGCTCTTCACTGAATAACAAGAACATTTATTAGAGTTTTGTAAAAGACAAACACATATTGTCATGCAAAGAATATTGAAACAATAGGGAATCTCGTATATGCTAGCAAGGATAACAAGAAAAAATAGAGAGAGAGTTTCGTAACAAATCGCGAAATATTTCCTCCGTTGGTGTTCGCTGCTTTGTAAAGTGTTTTCGCAGTGGCTGTGTTGGAGGATTAAAATAATAAAAAACATTTCCATAAAAAATGAATTTTACAATAAATCGGAGCGATTTTCAACCTCAATAAAAAATTGACACTCTAACAATCGACATGTGGTGGGTCATCACCAGTTAGCAGGTTAATAAAATGTGAGCGATTATTATTTCTCAGAAAGTGATTCAATTTAGCAAGCACATTTTAAGCTCTATCAATAGTATAAGAACAGCAGCAACGAAGAATCTTAATAAAAATTATTCGTTAAAGCAGATATGACTAAATCGGCGTCACGCAAATAATGGTGTCTACCTCGGTTTGCGAGTTTGGTATAGGTAACGTGTAAATCTAGCACGCGTGGGCAATCTTAACAGTTTGTTTGAGACCCATTGAGACCAAAGAGTCGTAACACACACACTGTCACACAGCAATTGAGATCGTATTTTAAAAACGACTTTATTTAACGTCTGATTGTCGACTAAAACATTGTGGACAAGGAGTACTTGTTACTTAGCTCGGACAACCGGCAAGCTTTTCTAGTTCTTCTGTTTTCAAAATTCTTAAACTTACTGTTTGAAAACAGTTTCAGGTCCAGGGCGGTCGGAGCAAGACCACAATATCTTTAGTTCATATTGCGGTGGGACCAAGCACGTGGTCATCGTTCGACAGCGTTTTATTTAGTTAATTAGTCACAAGATGTACCTTTTAATTTCTTTAAATTGACTGAATAGACTGACTGAAGTTGAGCTCGTCCATTTTCCATTACTGGATACACGAAACTAGGAACTCGCAACTCTCACCTAGCAACTGGCAACTCGCAACTCCACGAGTCGCATTCTAGGAACACCCTTTTTTTTACCATTATGCTGTTGAGTTTTTTTAATACCTAACTATCACCTGATCATACTGTTAAGCATACTGTTCCGTGAGACGAAAAGATTATTTAAATTATTAAGATTAGGTTTTTACGTTGAAAATTGCCAGCTGGTTTGATCAGTATTCTACAATAAATTTCATTTAAGTGGTTGTGAAGAGTTACCTTTCTTATTATAGATAGAAGTCTTGAAGCTCGAATTTAAGATGTTTACAAGAATGAAAACTCACGGAAAGCTCTCCTATAGTGGCAATATAGTGGCAATTTTTCATCGCGGCTGCCACGAAGTTCTAAGTTTCGCTGCTTTTCTCAATTGGTAAATTTGCCAAAACAGAAATTGCATGTGTTTACCTCTAAGTTGCCGATTTTTCTTTAAGCAACCAAGCAAATTGCCATACAGTACAATACTTTTATTATTTTACCCCGCTACATCTAGGAGTTAAATGATTCGTTAAAACATGTGCGCAAATAAAAAATACTAACTAAGTAACTAATACATGTCATTCAGAGTTAATATCCCTAAATGTATTTACATAATATTTGGTAATGTTGATGATGACATTCTAAATACTTCTATGTACATGCTTATTTAAAAGACGTTCAAAGGTAAGAATATCCTTAGGTCCTCCAACCTAAGAGGGTAAAGAATTGCAAAGCTTCGCGGTCTGAAATGAAAATGATCTGTGGCGCCATTCTTAAGATTAAAATAAGCTAGCATCAGAAGTGTACCCGACCCTCTTAAATTGTAATTACAGATTTTAATATTAAAAAAATGTTTGTGTGTGGCGTAGGGTTTGTTTATTATTGACACATCTGTAAGATAAAACTATAGGGCCTGGAATTTTTTCTTTGTTCTAGCGTTCTTTTTCTTACCCTGTTTAACAAATAATCAGGGTGTATGCTTACCATGACCTAAAATAGTCCTGAAAATATAACTATTCATGTCCTCTGCCATGCTTAAGACAAGCTTGATCGCCAGCTAGGTTCTAGGGTAGGTGTGATTAAAGGGTTGGCTGGCTTGTCTGCATATGCGGTCCACCTCTTAGTATATCGCTTGAAGTGTGCAGATCTTGAAATTGTCCGTTAAACCTATTTGATGTATTTTTTTTTTTACTTTGCTTGCAGACAGTCGCCATTATTTCATAACATCATTTTACTGTACCACTGCAAGGCTGTTTATCTAATATCTGGTATTTAATTGCCAGAAATAACTTTCTAGTGTGTGAATAGCCTTGTTAATTTTTTGTTACTGTATTTCTTGCTTTATTTTCAGTCGTCCTTTGTGAACCGTGCTGCCTTAGGAGTCTTTCCACCTGTCTCATTTCTTCAAGATTTAAAAGATGCTTTATTAAGTGTAAGCGAATTTAAACACATGAAATGAATCATGTTCACGTTAAAAAATATCTTAAGTGTGTCATTGTATCCGTATGAGTAAATGCTGAATGTTGTTCAATTGGGTCTGACAATTCCTCGCATTTTACTTGGCTCAGAAATTCAGCCGACGTAGCCAAATCACACGAGAAGTGCAAAGCAGAGTAGTCAGCTGAACATTCCTAGATGCCATCGGGCTGTCCGTCAGCGGTTCTTGTTTTACCAAGAGGCAAAGCTTTAGAATGGCGTCAATATTAAATAAAGTTTAATCCACTGACTCCTTCCCAATCGATAATTGAATTTGCAAATAGCTAGTACTATGTCATTCCTTACTTTTATATTTTATTATTTTTATATATTACTGTTATTTCCTCCTTTTTCTTGTAATTCTTTTGGCTGAATTGTCCTTTAAGGGAGTTGCAATAAAGTATGTATTTAGGTATGTTAGAATTTTGTTATTTAAATGAAGAGAATTACTTTATAGGCTGTTCAGCGCAGGTTACAACCATGTAAATAAGTTACATTTATTTTTAAAAGGTAGCTCCACCGGGATTGCCAGAAGTTACAACAATGGCTTGTGGAACGTGCTCGGTAGAAAATGCCTTTAAACTTGCTTTTATGCATTACAAGGTACTGTAAACAGTATAGTTATAATCTGCGTTAGCAGTTGAATATGTAAGTGCTCTGTCATGTTTGCAAAATTGGTAGTAAAGGTAAATTAGCTGGCAAATGCGATAGAAGAAAGAAGTTCAAAAACGTACATAATAACTGATAAGATTACAAAGGTAACAAAAGTCACAAGTGTCATTACATCTGGTCACGAATGTATTACACGTCTTAACAAAGTTAAAAAAGTATAAAATACATCTAGGCACAAAGGTACTGAATTGCCTTTGATCAGATTGTTTTGCTATCCCCCTTTTCCCTTTTCCTTTTTAACTGGGCCGCCTGTGAGGCAGATCCAGTTCATAAAATGGGATGGTTAGTGTAATGACTTTAGCTATAGCCTGTCACTTCCGGTGTTTATGTTTCCGGTTCTATTGTTACCATAATGCCTTTCGGTCATATGTTTTTCATTCGGCCATACTGTCGCTCAAAAGGTAGGTTAAGCTCAGCCTCTAGGCCACAGCTTGTTCAATGCGACAGATAGGTATTGCATGGTGTCAAAAGTAAAAGCGATTACACAGGAAAATGGGTCTTAGCGGCATCGAATGCCCACAGCTACACTGGGATGGCGAAAATCTTGTGGAAAACTGGCGTCGCTTGAAACAGCACGTGGAGCTCATGTTCTCCGGCCCGCTC